CTCCCGCAGCGCTCCCAGGACAGCCAGGGGGTCGGGGGGAGGGGCGTGGAGCACCCTAGGACTGAGGGAACCCCGAAGAGCATCAGCTGCCCCCCCCAACCCCGCACCTCCGTTCCCGCCTCCCTTCCCTCTTCCACGCCCCCGGGGGAAAGCAGCAGAGAGATCTGGGGACCAGACCCCAGAAGGGGCTGGCACCCCTCCTCCGTCCTGGGCTCCGGCCATCCCCCCACCATGCCCCAGCTCCGCCAGCTTTCCCGACTTTCTGGGCTGCTCCTCGGAGTTTGTGGGTGCCCCCCCCCCCGAAATCTCCCCTTACGGCAAAGACCCACAGCTCCTCGCCCAGCCGATGCCTGGATTCCACCCCCTCCCAGGCTCCTGTCCGCTTTACCACGCAAACCCCCATTTCCAGCACCGTGTTGCCCCCCAGCCCAGCACACTTGGGGTGGAGGGGGCAGCCCACCCTTGATTTCAAATAGATTGGACCTCTCCCCATTCCTAGAAGGTAACCCAGGCCACCCCTCGGGGGACCCCAGGCCTTCTCAGGGCCCGCCCCAATCTTCCAAGCCAGCCCCTGAGCAAGAACACAGTTCACACCCCTGCCTCTGCCGTATAACAGGCTCTGGGGATAGATTTATTTTTCCCTTCCAGGACAGAATAAAAATACCCGCAATTTATAGGAGATTTAATAGACGGCGAGAAATCAGGTCAGGACTCGGAGGTGCCTCTTCCTCCCGTGACCTACTTCATGTGACAGCAGGAGTCCGGGCGCTGGAGAATGGGAGCGTGAGGCGTGGGGGGCACCCTGGGGTCTAGGAACTGGAAAATCGCAGAGAGGGGTGTGGACGGAGCGTCTTTGGGGGGATTCCCCAAGAGGAAGGACACGCGTGGGAACCAGAGAAGGAACCACGTGAGCTGGAATAAAAATGAACTCAAGACTCTCTAATTTTTCAGAAGCCCAGTTCCTCCTCCCTCAGGACCCAGGGTCCCCAAAACGAACGCCCGCAGTCCTAAGCCCTCTGTTCCCTTACGGCGCAACGAGGCGAGGCCGGTCTGCAACTGCGCGTTTAATGTAAACCCCGACTTCGCAGACTCTTCAAGGCGATCCAACAGGCCGCCGCTTCCAGCTTCGGCTCCTTGCTGCCGTCTAGTGGCCACGTGACGACCCGCAACGCAAAAACCGTGTTTTGCGTTTTCCTTCACTTTCCCGAACCTGCGCAGACGCTGCCCACCGACTCCGGCTTCGGCCCGCTGGTCCACTTCTCCTCGCCCCTACCTTCTGGGAAGTCCCGGCCTTCGGAGAGGTCCCAGGACCGGACTGCAGCTCCGGGCTGCGTCTCTTTGTGCGTTCCCCAGCTCGGGGTGCCTCGCAGTTTGTTTTATAAGGTCTACAAGGGCTCAGGCTGAAACAGCAACCTGGAAATAATTAGAAACAAATAACATGTAAATGTTTAAAAATGTAAACCTGTAGAACTTGAACGTACATCAGAATCACCTGGGGAACTCGTTTTAAAACAGATTTCCGGGCACCGCCCCCGAGTCTCTAATTCAGTCCTTCTGGGACGAGACGGAGAACCTGCATTACTAACATTCCCCCAGGTGGTGGTGCTGGTCCCCGGGGTCGTCATTGAGAGCCACTGCTGTGGAATTCTTGTTTCTTGCACTCTCTCGTCGCTTTCGTCTGCCCAAAAGAGACGTAACGAACGAAATTTCAATATAAAATTGTGGAAGACGAAGGGGAAAGCTTTAAAAAAAATTGTTTGACTCACGGAATGTGGGGCCTGAAAAAAAGACATCGCAGGGGGCACCCGGATTTGAACCGGGGACCTCTTGATCTGCAGTCAAATGCTCTACCACTGAGCTATACCCCCGCTGCTGGCAGCAGCGCGGCGGAAAGCTTCTTAACACTCTGCTACACGGCGCCGCGAGGAGCTGCGAAGAGTAATAGGCTCTAAGGTTTATAGCAGCGGGAAAAGACATAAATCTCAAGCGAATACACATCTGAATGCAGGGTTTGTTTTCTGAAGCACTGAGCTAAAGGCTTCTACTGACGGTGTAAGAAAAAAGCAATTTGAGCCTGGAGATCTTTCGAGATCCCTCACTTCCGGGAGTTCCTTCGAGCCGCGGTCCCCTTCTTTTTGCCCTGCTATCGCCCCCTTACTGCTGCTCAACGCCCCTCTGTCCTTCCTACACTGTGACGCGGATTTCTCGGCGCCTTCCTTCCCCAGCCTAAGCCTCGCCCATAGAAACTAACCTCCCTCCCTAAGAACTGCCCTCGGGTCACTGGCCAGGCCGACCTAGCAGTGTGCCCACCTGCCCGCTACCGAGGAGAGTGGGCCTTATGCACAGTCCACATGGGTCAACCCGAAGGTCCAAGTCCTCTCTCGTAATGCATTCCACTCTTAGACACACACGCAAGTGAGCTCGTGGGTTGGGCAGGGCCTGGGCCTCGGTCCTCAGTGACTGCAAAAGAGGATGGCAGTGCCCGGGGCCGCATCTCCCGTCACCTCTAGGAGGACTTACAGAAATTGACTGCAGAACTAAGAAAAATGGAAAAACCTGGGTGTGCAGAGGGGGCACCCGGATTTGAACCGGGGACCTCTTGATCTGCAGTCAAATGCTCTACCACTGAGCTATACCCCCATCTTGTAATGATACCCTTGTTATGATCACTTCTTTGGAATAAGGACATGGCATCAATTTGTGTTCTTATCTGAGGATTATGCCAGAATAACTTAAAAAAAGGGACTGCTAGAATTCCTGAGTTCTTCCTTCACCGTCACGCCTCAGGAAAACCGTCCTGGTCTTGTGGGGTAAGAGCGCTGCTTCCTGTATACAGGGCAGCCTGGCTTTCCATCCTGTCTCCAGCTCAACCTAAATAGGACGCCTGAGCTTTTCCAACCCCTAAGAACCCTTCGTCAAGCAGGCAGAAATAAGAAATACTTTTCAATGCCATTTATTACACATTTATAAAAAATTTTAAAAACTCTAATACAGTGCAAAACAAAATCAATACAAAAAGACTGACAAGATACACGGGTGGTCTAGAAACCTGCGTCATTTGGCAGGAGTGGGGTTTACCTTGGAAGGACACTGGGCGTTAAGGACATAGTTGGTGTGGCTTAAAGCCGGAAAGAGGCAGCACCCCAGGGAATGGGAAGGAGGGGGAGTGGGACTCCCTGCAGTGCCAAGGATTGTTCCCCTCCCACTCCCTCTCCCTTCCCAGCTGCTTTGGGTCTGCCTTCCTTCCCCTGAGCCCACCCCTTTACCTTCTAGAATATCCTTTGCCCAAAGATGGCTGAGGGGCCAGAAAGCTGGGGTGGGGGTAGGGGGGGTAAAAGGCCTCTCTTACGCTGCCCCTCCATTTTTCCTACAGAACTGAGGGGAAGAGGCTCCACTCCCTAATCCACCCAACGTTTCCTTGAAGGACGCCTGCTTCCGTGGAGTGAGGGGCAGCTGTACCTGCTGTCCTGTCTGCGGCAATTCAGAGTATACAGTCTCTCTAGCTCCTCTGTGGGGAGTTAGGTGGGCAGCGGCTTCTCCCTGTCCATAGCTGCCCCTGCTCCCACCAGAGAATCGTAGAACAGTAATAAATAGTCACTTGGGTTTTCCACCCCAGAAGTCCACGCTAACCCCGAAGTTCCTGGTGGCCTCCGACTGGGACATCAGCTGGCAGTGGCCCGAGATTGCATCCACTGGAGCCCAGCAAGCAGCCTGCAGGACGGGAGGGACAGAGCAAGGACCAGTATATCCCATGAGGATGATGGCCTTCAAGCCCCCAGCCCCTGCCCAAAGCCAACTGAATGGGGCAACTGACGTTACAGCAGCCTTTCAGTCAATAATATAAACAGGCTGAGTATGTACTATGCACCAGCTACTGCGCTAGGCACTGTGGTTACAGGTGAAAACACAGACACGCCCTCGGGGGCTGACATCCAACAGAACTAGGCACTGTGGTTACAGGTGAAAACAGACACGCCCTCGGGGGCTGACATCCAACAGAGGAGGTGGATATCCAACAAATGATCACCCAAATCACTCCTTCACTACATACTGTAATAAAGGTTAGGAAGGCGCTGTACAGAGGCCTCTGGAAGTCTGGGAATCAGCGGGACTTCTCTAAGGAAGGGGCCTGGAGACCTACCTTAGCAATGTCTTTGGGCAGATCTCTAGCGCCCCCTTCCCACCCACTCCATCGAAGGAGGCAGGGCCAGGGTGACTTCAAAGGCCTGGGAAGAGACCCCCATAAGCAAGTTCTCCCATTAGACTGCTAGCAACACCAGAACTAAAGCGGGGTGGGGGTGGGATAGGATGGTCTTGGTCATGACTTTATCATCTGGCACAGTGCCTGGCACATGGGGGTACTTAGGAAATGCTGGTTGAATTGAATTGAAAGCAAGAGACCACGGGAAATGTGTGGCTCCTTGGCTGACGTGACCAAAGCCTCCCTTCTTTAATCAGCCATCTAGGTCCTTGGCCTCGGTGATTCCACCTGAGAAGGAAGAGGGAAGGGCCATCTCCAGACCTGATAGGGGCCCTTTCTGTGTGACCGTGACCGTGACCTAGGGCCTTCACATCCTTCAGTGTTTGCTGAGCATCCCTTCTCAGCAGCCCCTCCCCAGATAGCTATTCTAAGGTTGCAACATCCCCCTCCCATGTACTTCCAATCTTCTTTCCTACCTGACTTCCCCTGAGCACTTAGCACTTTTTAACTTACTACATATATTTTTATTTTTATTGTCTGTTTCCTCCCCCCACCCCACCCCCACGGGAACGTAAGCTCCAGGAGGGCAGGTGTGTGTGTCTGTTTTGTTTACCGGTGTTTCTCCAGGGGCCTAGAACAGTGCCTGGTGCTTAATACACGTTGAATGAGCGGCATCATTTACTCCCTACAGAGACTCTGGGAGGAAGTAGATTTAATCACCCTCCTCTTCAGAGGTGAGGAAACCCAAGGTCAAAAAGAGTCGGTGATTTCTGCCTCAAAGGCTTGTCCCAGGTCTGCCCGTGGCTCTGTCTCCTTCATTCAGATCTCAGCTCAAAAGGCATTTAGTAGAGGCTGCCCCTCGCCACCAGAGCTAAACCAGACCCATCCCCACCCCTCTGTCACTGTGGTCCAAGTTCACGTTCTTCATAGCACTTGTGAGCGCCTAAAACGTGGGGGTGGGGGTGGACTGTCACCTCTCCCCCCACTAGGACAGGCTCCTGAGATCAGGGGCTCTCTCGCTCACTGCTCACCCACAGCATCTCCGCTGTGGGAAGGCAACTGACTTGACTATGAACCAGATTCTGATAGGAGAGGCAGGAGGCTGTTCTGATGGTCAGTCATTCATTGGTACCAGTCCCAGGAGGTCCAGGTGGGACGGCCACTCACCCTTCCCCGGTGAGGGCACAGCAGCCCTGTATGTGCCATGGGTGGTCTTTGATGGCACTCAGGGTGAGGAATTGGGAGATCTCCACGGTGGTCATGGAGTCCTTCAGATCCTGCTTATTGGCGAAGATCAGGACAGAGGCATCTCGCAGAGCCTGTGGACAGAGGAGCCCAGCCCGTCAGCCTTCCAGGGCCCAGCCTCCCTCCCAGTGCCCCTTGAGTGTCCCCTGGCTCCCCTGCTGCCCCAGCAGGAGAAGCCCAAGCCCAAGTGGGGTGGGCACAGGGGCCTGTCCCAACATAGCAACCCCAGCCACTGACACTGACAGCTCACAGATGCCTCCAAGCCAGTCATAGAGTCCCTAACAGTCCCATGACATAGGAATCGGATGATTCTCCCTAATTTGTAATTGGGTGAACGGAATTAGAGAGGCAAAGTAGCTTGCCTGGGGTCCCACCGTGAGTGGGACATGGTTTCAGAACCGGAACCAGCAACTTTGGCTCCTGTGGTCACCTGTGCTGAGGGCATTATTGCCCTTCATCTGAGAGAAACTAGCCCCGCCCAAGCTGCTGAGCTAGAGGCTCTCAGAGGCCGAGTCACAGGAATGAGGCTCTGAGAGGCCAGTGTGTAAGCCGAGGTCACACCGGGAGCACACTGGGCCCTCTCCCAGCCGCAGGGGGCTCACCTCGTGGGCCAGCATCTTATACAGCTCCTCCCGAGTGGTCAGCAGCCGGTCCCGGTCCGTGCTGTCAATCACAAGGACGAGGAACTGGCCAGCAGAGGGGGACCATGAGTGGTGGGCTCTCCCTTGGTGAAGGTGCCCTCTGCCCAGCCGTGCTCCCCACTGGCCTCTGCACTACCCTGATGTGAGTCCCACCGGAAACAAACTGTCCCGCCTCAAGATCTCACTGCCCTCGTCCCATTTTTTTGTCTGACATTTATTTGTTTTTGTTCTAGTCCCATTTTAATTCCCCTTTCCAACCAGACACCTGGAATACACAGAGCATGACCTCAGATTTCCTGCCAGAGGCTATGCCCTGGGCATTCATGAGCCCATTTAGGCCTCACCACAGCCCTTTGGAACTGACACTGAAGTTGACCCTTGAACAATGCGAGGGATGGGGGCAACCAACTCCCACACAGTTGAAAATCACATATAACTTTGGACTCCCCAAAACTTCAGTCCTCGGTATCCGCAGGGGACTGGTTCCAGGGCCCCTGTGCGTACCAAAATCTACGGATGCTCAAGTCCCTTATAGAAAATGGCATAGAACAAAGGACTCTCAACCACAGTGCCATTCCCGGGGACGCAGAAGGCTGGCTGTCTATATATTGAAAAAATTCACAGGTAAGTGGACCCATGTTGTTCAAACCCAAAGTTTTTCAAAGTTCAAGGGTCAACTGTATTATTATCCCCATCTACAGATGAGGAGACTGAGGTGCAGCAAGGTGACATATCCTGCCCTCAGCCACACACCTGGTGAGTGGAGTGCTGGAATTTAAACTCGGCTTTCTTGTTCCAGGAGTGAAACCACTGAATTCTACTGCTTCCAGAGTGAGTAAGTAAAACCCCCGGAGACATGGGTCTACCCCATCCAGTGCATCAAACGGGAAAGTGCCAGCAAGCAGACAAAGCTGCTAGGAAATACTCAAACATGCCCACAGGCACTGTGCTGTGTAAGTATTTGACAGGCATGCCTTAGCTATTGTTGTATTATTCAAGTTTCACAACAACTCAGGGAGGTCGTAAGTGGGGGAACCGAGGCTCAGAGAGGTGAAGTCGCTGACTCATGTCACACAGCCCCTCCAGCCCCGGGCCCAGCTCACCTCCGTGTTGGAGAAGTATGTGTTCCAGGTGGAGCGCAGAGCTTCTTGGCCCCCGATGTCCCACATGAGAAAGCGGGTCTTTCGCAGGACAACCTCCTCCACGTTGCTGCCAATGGTGGGACACGTGTGGACCACCTCATTCATCAGGCTGGGGGGTAGGAGAGGTACCAAGAGCTCAGCCCAGCTCACTCACAGCTCTCACCTGCGACCCCTCTGCTCCCAAGTCCGGCTGAATCTAGTTCCGAAGAAATCAGCCCAGGTTGACCGGGCCTCTGCTGAGCGGGAGTGAGACCAAGTCCTGCCCTGGCTTGGACCCCAGGGAGGGGAGACTTAGGCGAACAGTCTCCCCAAACTTTGATGTGCAGTTGAATCACCTGGGAGCCTTGTTAAAATGCAGATTCTGATCCGGTGGGTCTGGGCTGGGGCCCAGCGCTTTGCACTTCTAACAAGCTTCCCCACGATCCACCGCTGCTGGTCTATGGGCCACACTTTGACTAGCGAGGGAGTCATTAGACAAACGAGACAGACGCTCGTGAGGGCCATCCGAAAGGTGCTCTGGCTACAGTGACATAGAAAACACACACCCTTTCACCTGCAAGGAATTCCTCCGGAAGATCTGGGAGGTCACTCCCTGTGCTCTTGGAGTCAGAGGTGAGAGAGAAGCTTCCTTTTCCCTGTATACTCCTGTGCTGTTAGGATTTTTCTTTTCTTCTCATTTTTAAAAACCATTTCTATGTGTCACTTTTTCAGGGGAGAAAAATCTGTCCTAAGTAAACACACTGGAGGCTCCAGAACAGGAGAGATACCATCCGGGGAGTGAATCCGGGGAAAACTCCGATGGGTAACAATTACTCAGCACATGTGCCGGGCTCTGCCGGACCAGGGGCCACAGAGCCCAGCGGACCCACAGCTGGCCCTCCCTTAGGGTTGGCAGAAGGAAGGCAAAGATGCAAAGGCGGAGGGAGCGCAGGAGTTGAAAGAGGGGACCCGCCGCTAGGGGGTAGGGAAGAGCAGGGAGGCGGGAGGAACCTGCCTGCCCACCAGCCTCAGCCTGTAGCCGAGCCTGGCAGGGGCCGGGGGCAGATGGCGGGGCGCAGTGGGGTTGCCCATACCCCGCAGCATTCGAATGCCAGGTCGAGGGGCCATTGATCTGAGTGAGGGGCCACTATCCCCAGGAAGGTCCCACTAGCGTTCTCCAAGTCACTCCTCCCGGGAACCCAGGAAGAGCTCCGGTGATTGGCCCACGTGTTTGTCAGTCTGGTGGAAAAGCACAAGCCCCGCCCCCCACCCCGGGAGTCACTTACAACTGGTAGAGGATGGTGGACTTTCCCGCGTTGTCCAGGCCCACGATGATAACCTTGTGCTCTGCAGGCATCCGAGGGAAGGGCAGGGTCAGGGCCCAACGCGATGACCAAGGGACTGTGGGACCCACGAGACCGCCCACGAAGGAGACAAGTGTCCCCAGCAGGCTGGGGGACTTCCCCACGGTACCACTTCTGCTCCCCCGCCCCCATCTCCCACTCACCCACCCCCCAAAAAGTGGGGGGGGGGAGGACCGACAGGACAGGTGTCTTTCCCAGGGCCCCGCACACCAGCCCCACCGCCCTCGCTCCACAATTCCAGAAAAGTGATTGTCTGGAGGCTCCGGGGAGCTCAGGGCTTGTCAAGACCCGGAGGGGTCGGGGAAAGAACCGAGCGCGAAGTCGCGATCGCAAGAAGCCCGCGGCGGCGGCTTTTACCCCGAGGATGTAGCTCGCCCAGCCTGTGCCCTGGGGCGCACCGAAACCCGCGACCCGCGAGGAGCCGGCAGGGAAGGGGCAGGGGAGACGGCGCATCGGACTCGGGGCGCCCGTGCAGGACCCTCCCAGTCCTAGGTTACCCAGCGCATCCCAATCCCGGGGGACCCGGGCGGGAACCAGATCAAAGCGATCGCTTGGATGCCCTGGGCGCCCCTTACCCTGTTTCCCGAAGATGCCCATCAATTTGGCCATCAGTTGTCCCATGGCGCGTCCGGGGCCGAACAGGTGCAGACTCAGTGGCCCTCGGGGGCCCGGGTTGAGCCCGGGCGCTTGGAGCCCCGCCCCCGGGGGAGGGCCAGACGGGGTCTCTGAGGTCACGGGAGCCTCCTGAGTCCCCTGCAGGGCCTGGGAATTCCCTGAAACGCTGAGCCCTCAGGGGTGCTATGGACGTCAGGTCGACAACAAACTACTGTCTAGAGCCCTGGAGGTGCGAGGAAAATGGGGTCCAGACTCCACATCCTCCCCCCCCACCTGAGAAAATCCCAGAGTTCTCTGGGTGGACTGCTCCCCCACAGCCAATCCAGGAGACTCCGACGGTGTTCCATGACCGTGTCCCAGGTCCTCCTTCTCCAAGGCCATGTCTGGAGCATGAGGCTAAAGCAAAAACCCTTGGCCACCCACCTTCTCCACCTACCAGCTGTGTGGGGTAGACAGGGCTCACTGATCCCCGCTCTCTGAGCTGGGAGAGTATTTTGACCCTCAGCACGTCTCTAGCTGTTCACTTGTGTGGGTCTTGTAGTTCCCAGGGTCTCCCTCCTTTGGCAGGTCCCTTGGTGACAGGCAATTTTTATGATTTGCTGGCAACCCGACTGCTCAGGCACAGCTCCCTTAACCAGAGGGTAGGCACCCCAAGACAGGGATGGCGCAAAACAGACATCTCTCAGCCACAGACCCTACAGAGGGATTCCAGATACTAAGACACAGGCAGAGGAGGAACAAGAAGGGGGAGCCGCTCCTTGATGTTTGCGAATTTCCTTCTTTGCTTAAACTGGGGAAAACCAGAAAACAAAAAGAGAAGTAGGGAAGGCAAACCAACCACAGGCTGCAGGGCAGTTAGGAGACACCAGCCATCACCCAGGGCACTTGGCTCCTCCCACCCTTCTGCTCTAAGGGGTCTCCCTGCCTCTGTCTCCCCTCACCAGGCATCTCCTCACAGCCCTCAGTCCTGTTAACCTTCCCAGTCTGTTCTAACGGGTCTCCCTGCCTCTGTCTCTCCTTTCCAGGCATCTCCTCACAGCCTCAGTCCCGTTAACCTTCCCAGTCTGTTCCTCCGCAGCTCACAAACCTGCAATGGCTCCCTATTGCCCACTTGATTCAGATCTGTCTCCTCTCCTGAAATTCGGGAACCTCCATGAATAGCCCCCACCTGCCTTTGCAGCTTATCCCCCATGTTTGCCTCCAGCGGTCCTTGCTCACACAGGCACAGCTCTTTCCAACTGTGCTTTTACCTCTGCGTTTCCTCCACCCGAACGCCTTTCCCTTTTTCAGAAAGGAGGGTTCCTGAGCCCCATCCCATTGGCTGCCTGCCATAAAAGCCACCTACTTGCCAAGCTCCGGCCTGGTTCTCCAGCCATAGGGGGCTTCTCTCCACACGGAGACTGCGGACCGGACTGGACTGGCATGCCTGTTTCTTCCAATCATCTGTGATTCCCAGAGGGCGGGGTTCGTGTCTTGTTCACCTGTGTGCCCCCCCTCACCTGGTCCAGTGTCCGGCCCGCAGTAGGAATGTGTTGCTATTGGATTGAAGTACAGTGAGTTAAGCTACAACCTGAGAAATGGTTTTGGAGTATTAAAGAAAAAAAAAGTGTGAGTACAAGTTGAAGAGAATGGAGGAAGACAGGGAAGTTTGTGAAGAGAAGAGAGAAAAGAATTCACTTAATACAGAATTTTCACTCACCCCACCCTCCACCCCCCAGATTCCTAGCAGAGAAGGAAGAAGAATTGGCCAGTGGAGCCCATCTGGCTGATTTCATTTCGGCCCTAGGAAAAAAGGAGCTGGGGCTGCGGCGGGGTGCAGGAGGGTGAGGGCACAGGAGGTGCTGAGGGAAGCAGCAATGTGTTAAGCATTTTCACCATCTGTTTCCTGGGGGTGGGGGGGGACCTGTGAGTGTACCCTGCCTCCTCCGCCGCCACCGCCACTTGCAGAATTGAAAGTGACATTCGGCCAGCTGGAGCACGTTCAGTAAACAGACCAGAGCCCAGCCTTCCTTGAGGCCCAGAGCTGGGTCTTAGGGGCATTTCCTTCACTTTTCATTCATTTGATGAATATGAGTCAGGAGGTAGGAAACATGCCAAGTAGACAAAACAGACCCAGTCTGGGTCTTAGGAAGCTTACTGTCTAGTGGGGAGACAAATACACATACAAAAACAAACCCACAAAAACAACCAGCCAACCAGCCCTGGCAGGCAGTAGATGGGAAGGCCTGATTTAGAAGGGAGCCACGGCACTCTCCTCTGAGGATGTGATCACGGAAGCTAAGGCAAGCTTTCGCTCTAGGTTGGACTGGAACACCCCCTCACCTCTGGGCCGTCGTGGCCCTGCTCAGCTCATTTCATTTTTGATTGGTTGGAAACCTTCAGCCACACCTAGGACTGAGGCTCGCTCTGGTGCAGAACATATTGCAAAGACAGAAGCAGCCAGTCAGGTGTGAGTATGTGGGGAGTGAGGGGCGGGGAGATCCCCAGCGCCTCAGTTCCTGAACCCCTGAGGGGGCTGTGGTAGCAGAACCAGCCTCTCTGGGCCTCATCACAGCCAGCTTCATGGTTGTTGACGTCCCGGTCCCGTGCTGTGTCGGTTGAGGGCTTGTGGGTACCAAGAGACAAGTCTCTCTCTCTCTCTCTCTCTCTCTCTCTCTCTCTCTCTCTCTCTCTCGCCTCCCAATATCTCCAAGCCACCTAGAGATGCCCCTGCCTGTATGTTCTGGGCAAATGCAATTTCAGGCAGAAGGCACATGGGGAAGAGACACATATTCAGATTCCTGTTTCCCCCTCCCTCCCCCGCTCCGCTCCCAGAAGCTGGGCCACCCTGGGGCAGGGGAATTAGCCCTAGACTTGGGGGTATGGACACCACAGAACTTGAAATCCAGACATCTGAGTCCAAGTTCTTGCTCCAGTGCCGTGTATGGACACGCTGCTGGAACTCTCTGAGCTTTATCTGTAAATGGTAGTTAATAATCCCCGCCCTCGGTACAAAGACATCAGGCTCCACACAGGATGGGGCTCTCCTCCGAGCTGTCTTCTGCTCTCCTCCTCTGGGCTGTCCTCCTACAGCACCATAAACCCGCCTTGTCCAAAGCTAGGTATCATTTCTGCCTCTAACTTGCTTTCTCTCTGTAACCCACAGTCACCCAGACACCGCCCTCCCTCTCAGCGACCATCTCCAATTGCTCCTCATCAGCTCTCCATTCTGTTCGACGTCTCTGACAGCCACAGCCTCCTTTCCCGCTCCACTGCTGAGGTCTCGTGCAGGCCCCTCGCATTCCTCACGTGGAGTACTGCAGGTTTCCAGGCTCGACCCTCCTGTCTGCTCCAAACTGCAACCAAGGCAATCTTGCTATTGCTGCGTGCAGCCCTTTGATGTCTGCACACCAGCTTCAGGACAAAGCCCAAACTCCTTAACGCAACTCAAGATCCCGGGGACCTGCTCCTGCTGACCCTTCTCTGACCACACCTTGCGAGCAAGGTGAAGGCCAAGAACACATCCTGTATGTCACCTGTCTCCTCTGCCTTCAACACTCCCCCCACTCCTCTGCTCAACCCTTACTTCCTACAGGAAGTTACTCCTGGTCTCCTCAGATTTAGGGGACTCAAGCCCTGACCCCTGTCCCAGGTTCCCCCAGAACCCAGTGCTCCCCACATCAGACAGCTCACTGTTCTGTCCCAAATTGCCTGTGGCTCCCATTTAGACTTGTGCCTGGTACATAGTAGGTGCTCAGCAAACGTTTGTTCAGTGGTTAAACGTGGGAATGGATTGCACCGAAAGGCAGTGCAGAGCCCTACACTGGGAGGCAGAGACCGGACTCCAAATCCCAGCAGCGCTTGACGGCCCTGGGTGGGCCTGCCACCTGACCTGCAGGCCTGCCCAGCTCCTCTCTCCTTGGGTCTGCTGACCCCTCTTCTAGGGAGATCTGGATGTCTGCTGCCCTCTCTCCACACACACACACACCTGCACACAGAATAGAGGAGCACTCAGGTTAAAGACCCAGGAGCTCATCCTTCAGGTCCAGCACCACCCCAGAATCAAGAACCAGGTGCTTCGAGAGACAACAGCAGTAACCACCTCCGGAGCCCGCATCCTGCCAGCTGCGGAGGGCAGGAACTGGCAGCCACCTGCTGACTGTCTTTCTCTGAAGCTGGGACTGGGGAAATCCCCATTCTCTCTGCCCCTCCCCCAAGGCTGGTTGGCAGGGGCTGGGTAGGGGGTAGTTGTGGGGGCTTTGGGGAAGAAAGCCAGACTCGGTCCCTCCCTCTCCCGAGGTGTTGGGGAGCAGTTGAGGCCAGAGGAGAACAAACACGCGCCTTTAACATTGTGCCAGTGGGTCTGGATCTCATTGTAGGACACCCCATTTCTCCACCTCAGCTTCCCATTTTCCCTGGCTCTGCTTAAGGGGAGAGGGGTTCGCAGCGGAGTTTGCGCTGAGTGGGGACCGAGCCTGGCTACGCCGCTCAGTCAGGTCTGAATGTAATGCATCAGAGAGTCACAAATCACCCTCATCTCCTGTGGCGTAAACAACTCCAGGCACAGCTTCCTCCTGCACCCCCCCTACCCCCCTGCGGGAACAAAGCAGGCTCGGGAGGCTGCCGCAAAGGACAGGATGGTGGTTTTATATGTGGCAAAATACTCCTAGGGGAGTAAAGACGAACAGAAGGACAGATGGAGGCACATGATACCAGACAGGAGGGGGAAAGGTTGGGCAGTGGTCTCTTCTAACCAGTAAGTGGAAGCTGCACCCCACCCCCAGGTGGGGGGTGGGACGACATTGGCACAGGAGGTGGCGAGACAGGCATGAGGTGCCCATCCCTGAGGTGGGCAGCCGGGCAGGGCCCAGTCCTCGTTGGCACAATCGGCTCTCTCTGGCCCAGCTGGGATGCTGGGGAGGGCAGGGCTGCTGGGCTAAGGGGATGCTAGGCCGAGGGACACTCAGGTCAGAGGGGGATAGGAAGGCCTCTCCTGGGGGGAGTGGAGTGGACGTGGGTAAAGAACAAGAGGCAAATACAGAGCAGCAGCAGCAGCAGCAGCCAAGCCCCCCAGGGGAGAGCCGCGGTCCCGAGGCAACCCCTGGGCAGGGATCATTTCTTGGGCACCAACCCCAAGGGCCTCTTCCCTGGGGTTTTGGGGTGGGAATGAAGGAGCAGTTTTTGGTTTCAAAATGAGGCGGACCAGAGTGCCACGGGCTCCACACCCAGGTGACACAGGGACGGGGAGGGCCCCTCTTCTGATGGCAGCAGGCAAGGGATAGTGTAGGCAAAGCTCATTCCTGGGGCAGGTAAAGGCTGAGACATGGAGGTGGGGGTGGGGGTGCGGGTAGCGTCTCCGATTGCCCACTCCTCAGGGTTCGGTCCTGGGTGGGCAGATGGCACTACATCTGATGCCCATCAGTTTCTACCCAGACACCTCCCCAAGGGGCTTCCAGCAGGGAGCTTCCTCCTACCAGACAGCTGGGGGGAGAGGGTTGGGCATGAGGAGGGACCCTGGGCCTGGAGTTTGGGAAGAGAACCCTCGTGGAAAAGCCTGTGGCCTCTCTCTCCAGGAAAAACCCCCTACCCTTCCCAGCTACTCCAGGCGGGGAAAGGGCCGCCCCATGGAGAGTCCCACGTAGAAGGAGCTAAGGAAGTGCACCTTTTCTCTGGGAGAGAGAGGGGAGCGAGACCCCCTGAGGAGGGGAAAAGGAGACACTGCAGACAGGTGGGCATCCCCCGTCCACCCACCGCAGGGAGATAAAGACCTACAGCTGGAGCGGAAGGGACTCCCTGGAGCTGGGATGCTACCACCTAAAAACAAAAAAAAAAAACAAAAACCCAACACTGAGCAAAGGCATCTGAAAGAGAAGCGCCCCCTGGAGGTAAGACACCCCCGGCGGTGAGCGAGCTGCACCTCCCTCCCCTGGGCTCAGTCCTTCCTCCCAGGGCGGCCCGGCCTCTCAGCGGATGTACACGCCCCGCCCCCAGCCCTCCAGCTCGTTCTTGTTGCGCCCCAGCACGGGCCCCCCGCCCTCCGCGCAGTAGCGGGCCTTATTGCGGCCGCGATTCCGGTTGTCAGTCAGCTCCTCTTCATAGTCGTTCTCTTCATCCTCCCAGGATCCCTGCCGGGCGGGTGGGGTGCTGCCCCCTGCGGGGTCTCCAAGCCCTGGCCCCTCGGAGGGGTCGGTCTCCATGTCCACGCACGAGTCGCCCAGCTCGGTGTAGGTAGAATTGCGGTTGCCAGAGGCGTCGGCATCAAACGTGTCTTGGCGGGACAGTGCCCGCACGGTGCCCACCCGGCCCGGTGGGTGGCTGCCGGGGTAAAGGCCTGGGGGCTGGCCCAGCTCCCCCGGGTACTCGTGCACGCTGGCATGCTCCCCGGTGGCCCGGTCCAGCGACTGGTCCCCAGAAGCAAGGTAGGGTCCCTGGTTAGCAGACAGACGGCACACACCATGCAGATCGGGCAGGGGTGAGAGAAACACAACAAGGCAACGTAGGTTAGTGTTGGCACCGAGGCACCAGCCTGGCAGAGGGAGGAGGGGGCTGGCTCTAGGGGATGGAGCCCGGCCAAGGACGCTAGAGCCCGGACCTCAGGGCATGTGCTCCTTTGTTAGGACGGAAGGGGGCGCCCCACCTCCCCCCCTCCGCCCCCCCCTTGCCTGAGGCCTGCACTCTCCCGGCTACCATGACACAGACCCCATGAACGATTAGTCATCGCTTCCTCAACACACGTCACTAATGCTGTTTTGGGGTAAATCATCATTAACAGCTCATTAGTATTGCCACTCGTTAGTGGTCGATTGGGTTAGTCATTGCTCCAGTTTTCCAAATACACTCAGGGGATTTCAGCGCAAGCTCCCTAACCCCAGCTCCTTCCGCCCAAACCAGACCCTCATCAGAGGGTTCTAGAACCCCACACTCCCTGACCTCGGTGAATGATGGAATTCCTCCTCTGCCCCCAGCAAAGACTCAAAGCAGCAGGACAGGAAAAGCTGATGGGTCTCCACCCCACAGGAGATGATGAGGTGGCCCCGTGTCCTCAGCACCAAATGCCACATGGACTGATGGCCACTTCCATCACAGAGGCCACTGGGAGGGTGCAAAGAGGCCTGGGTCCTAGTCCTGCCCCTTTAAGTTGGGTGATGCTAAGGAACTGACTCCCCTTCCCGTGGCCCAGTTTCTCTGCGGTGGTGCGATGGAGATGAGAGCAGCAGTTTCCAAACTGTTCCCCTGAGATCTGGGGTGGAGTGGGAGGGCACAGAAGTGCTTCAGGGGTCCCCGTGGAGGTGAAGTGGAGGCCAAGCCACTAGCTCCCTCTGAGCAGAGCAAGGACGGCTTCTACTGAGCTTCCACATAAGACTCAGCGAACGAATTTGAAAAGCAATGGTCTAGAATGCTTTTTTTCTGGCTCTAATGGAGAATCAAATACGTCATGATGTGATCTCGGGGATGGGCCGTGGCTCCTATGGGAGGAGGGAGAGGCAGGGCGGGGCACCCACAGGGGGGCCTTTCCTGGAATCTGTTTCACTGGGAGCAGAATGGAAGGTTCAGCATCCATCACAGAAGATGCTACTTTCCGGGTCCCTTCTGAGGGGCCTCCTGTGGTGAGGGCTCTAGGGAAGGGGACAGTCGCTTTGGGTTTAAAGGCCCCTGCGTTGTGGGATTCCCTGCTCTGTTGGGTCTACAATGCTGTGACCGCTCTTGAGTCTAAAATGGGCATGGGGTCCAGTGAATGGCTCTACCAGTCTTCTCCGTGTTTTCTTCCAAGTCACTTGACTTACAGGGCCCCCAATCAGGCCTCACACCCAAAGCCCCCAAGGCGGCTGATGGAGTCCTATGGCACCAGGCCCAAGGAGTACCATCAGCCCGCCCCAATCCCACAAACAAACCACAGACACCAGAAGCTGCTGCTCACCACATTTTTTTACAAAATAGAGCTCTTTCCTTCCTTCCCCATGATCCCTGTTCTCCAATTCCCGGCCATGGGCAGGAGGGGAGGTGTGGGAGGAGGGGGTACCTACATGGCGTGCTCCTGCAGCTGGGGCACTGCCCCGGCCTGCTGTGAGGCCTCCAGCCCACCCCAGAAGCTGAGATTTCTCCTGAGTGAGGTGAGCACCTGTACCTGGAGGTTGGAGACAGGGGCAGGGCTGGCAGCCAGGGCTGCAGTAGCCATGGTGCGGGTCAGCAGTGGGTTAGGTGGAGTGCTGCTGGGCGGGTGTGTGGCCTTCCAATAGGCTTCCAAGTATTCCGCCAAGTGCTCACAGGCATCCTCCAATTGGTTCTCATCCAGGATGATGTCAAACATTTCCTGTGGAGGCGGGGTTAGGGGGAGGGCTAGGATGAGCCAGGCAGGACCTAGGGGTTGTGGGTATGGCCTGGGCACAGTGGGCGGAGAGTCAAGGGGTTGAAGGGCAAAGTTAAAAAGAGACATCTGGATGTCCAGAAAGAGAAGGGGGGCTCTCAGATGGGCACTGGCAGAACCACAAAGGCTCTTGGCACCCACATAGTCCAACTCCCTCATTCTAGATTTAAGGCTTAGACTCCCCAAAGAGAAGCGGTACTTCTGGGGCTTGAAGCCAGTCTGTGACTGCCTGCCCAGCACTCCTTCCCAGAAGTCCATCAGCACCGCTCCGAGGCCGCTATTTGCACATTGAGGTGTTTGGACTGCGACTTCCCTCGAGACTTGATGAGCCTCTGAAGTACCTGGTTTGGGGGGAGAAGAAGGAATCCCAGAAATGCACCAAGTCAGAGAGGCAGGTCCTGGTTAAAGCTGGCGTGGAGTGCCAGGGTCAGGGCGAGGGGATGTTGGGTGATTCTCAGCCCTGGCCACCTCTTTAGACATCACCTCACCAGCCCTGTATCCATCCTGCACACTGCCCAGGCTCTCTCCCGGGTCTCATGCCAACATGTCCTAGAAGTTCTCGTCACAGTGGCTGTCTGAAGGGTATACAGCCCCGCTCCTCTAACCTTCTTCACAGGCTTCATTGTCTAGGCCAGCCGTGGGCAAACTACGGCCCGCGGGCCGGATCCGGCCTGTTCGGCTGTTCTATCCGCCCGCGGAGCCGAAAGGGCGGAGGGTTCTCTTGCTCTCCCCTCCGCCCCTTCACCAGCAGCAGTGTTAACACGTATCAGTTCACACACACACTCCATCCATGCTTTGGTTCCGCCCTCCGGTCCAGTTTAAGAACCCATTGTGGCCCTCAAGTCAAAAAGTTTGCCCACCCCTGGTCTAGGCCAACTTCCCCTCCATGTTAACAACAGCCATGCTTTATGGGGCACCTACTGCATACTGGCACTATTTGGTACTTTTTACATGATCAATTCATTGAGTTCCGACAATAATCTCATTAGGTGGCCACTACTATGATTTTCACTCAATCATAATAATAACAATAGCTGAAACAAACCCATAACCTTAGCTAAATGATTAAAGCTAACATCACCAATGATGCGGCAAACCAATGTCATATGCCTCTTGACGCAATGCAATCAGGACACATGGTTTTGGTGAAAACTGAAGATGGACTGAATTCCAGATAACACTTCTTGAATCTGACAATTACACTATGATTAATGTCCTTGTTCTTAAGAAATACATGGTGGGATAAAGGCATACAATACTTATAACCTACTCTCAAATCGTTATGTGTACATAATATATACGTACATATATGCATAAGATAAAGTAAATGTGGCAAAGTGTTGAACATTAGTCAATCTGAAGAAAATTGAATTGCACACTTTAAATGGCTGAATTGAATGGTACGTAAATTATATCCCAATAAAGCTGTTAAAAAATTAGCAAATCCAAGTGAAGGGCATTCAGAGGATGAGAGTTCTTTGGGCTATTCTTGCAACTCTTCTGTAAATAAAAATCTTTTAAACAATAAAGTAGATATAGTGCTTAGTAGGTACCAGCCACTTTGCATGGTTAATCCATTTACTCGATCTTCACAATCACTACCTGAGGATCCCTATTTTACAGATGAGGACACTGAGGCAGAGAGATGTCAGGTGACTTGCCAAAGGAGCACAGAGCTGGTAAGTGGCAGCCCTGGGACATAAACCCAGGCAATCTGGACTCTCAGAGTCCCCACCTTTAACTTCAGTCAGTTGCTCATCCATGGGGGATGGGCGTACTGGTACTTTCTAGATCACAAAGTGTTGTTGTGATCTTATTGGATCCTTTATCTTATTGGATCCTTTCAACCACTCCAGGAAGTACTTAGATTCATCATCCCCTTCATGCTCATTAGAAACTTAGGACTCAGAAAGTTTAAGGAACGGGTGCTCAGTTCCCAGGGTGCTCTCATGAGGTTATAACAGTTTCCACCCCTGGTTGCCATCATGAACTCTGGGCTCTTTATTTATTTTTTTATTATTATTATTTTTAAATATATTTTATTGATTTTTTACGGAGAGGAAGGGAGAGGGATAGAGAGTTAGAAACATCGATGAGAGAGAAACATCGATCAGCTGCCTCCTGCATACCCCCTCTACTGGGGATGTGCCCGCAACCAAGGTACATGCCCTTGACTGGAATCAAACCTGGGACCTTTCAGTCCGCAGGCCGACGCTCTATCCACTGAGCCAAACCAGTTAGGGCAAACTCTGGACTCTTTACGTCATTACCTCAAACCCTCTCAACAATTAACACCAGGGAGGCATTATAATCCCCATTCTACAGGGTCAGAGGCTTCAATTTCAATAAAAAATAACAACCAAAAAAAAACCCCCAACAAAATCTAATTAATAAGCCAACCACAGCTCAGATTTGAACCCCATGCTGTCTTCTAACTTCAAATCCTTCACCTACACTTGTCCTCCATGCGTCTCAAACCCCCACTTCTTCACCTACACTCGCCCTGCATGTTCCTCCCCCATTAACATCGAGGAGGGAAGACTAATGGAGCTGCAACATGACAAAGAAGTAAATCCTACGGATTTCATCTCCGTCAAGGTCCACATGAGGACAGTGCGGCAGAAAGGGCTGAAACCAAAAGGCAGGAAGGACCGCCCAGCTGTCAGTAGCTGGGTGACACCGGGACAACACGCACAGAATTCCAGCTTTCTGGATCAAGAGTGGGAGGTTAACCAGAGCGGAGACAGGGGACTGGCCTGCATGGCCCTAATAATAACATTTATGTTAAGATCTATAGAGTATTAATAGCTAATACATGGTGAGGTCCATTATACCGGAACCTTGGCTAAGTCCTAAGTATTCACATTAGGTTGAATCTTCACAATATCCATGTGATGGAGTTTTACAGAGCAGGAGAGTACGGCTGGGGTGATTCAGCCACAGCATTAGTCAGCAGCAGCTGGGATTTAAACAGGCAGCTGGACTCCTGAGAGCTCCTGTCCCCTCTCGGGTCCGGCCCCTGCACCCACCTTGGGAGAGGTGATCTTGATGTAAACAATGATGGGGGCCAGTGAGGTCTTGGAGAGTTGGGCCGGATGGTTGATGGTGTCGGCATCCAGAGCAACCAGCTGAAGGGTCCGGGCCAGCTCGAAGATTCGCTCGATCTCGCTCTGAACCTCAGCTGGGGGTACATGGAGTCATGGAGAAGGGGGAATGTCAGGGAGCCCCCCAGGAGGCAGCGGGTGGATAGAACACTTCTGGAGATGCCCCCCGCTCTCCTCCCACGTCTGGCCCCAGAAAGCAGGGGATGGGGGGTGTGAGGGGTGGGCTCACCCAGGCTGGAGCGTGTGTTGGAGCGCTCAATGATGATGTGTTTGCTGGGGTTGTTGAGGACTGAGCGCTTAGCCAGGGAAATGTCCGCCGTCACCCGAGTGATGGAGATCCTGGGGCATGGGGCAAAGGGAGTCAGGGCTCAGGCGGGCTCGAATGCCCTGCCCGCTCTGCAGGCTCTAGGCCTGCCTCCTATCCCTCAGTCCGAGATCCCAAATTATCATTCAAGCCATCCTGCCCATCCCCAGCAGCAGTGGGGACCTAGCTCCCGGGGTCTTACCTGCCATCAAACCGATGCTTCAAGAAGTCAAACAAAGCCTTCTGCATCATGTCTGTAACCTGAGGGTGGGACGTGGGGTGGGGGAGAAGTCAGGTGTTTAAAAAAGCCACTCAGCAAGAGTGGGCTGCTGGGTAGATGCACCCTCCCACACCATTTCCTTCTTAAATTCCTGAAATGAATGGGCCCCTGGGGGAAAGAGGCGTCTTCTGAGTCTGAGGAGCCTCCAATGAGCTCTCAGATTCCAATGGTTCTTCTAGGTGGTTCCTCTGCGAGGACTCTTCTGGAGATTTGGGGGGAGGAACTCGACCCTCTGAGTGGGTCTCCCTGTGGGTGGGGCCCTCTGGGAAATTGCTCTGAAGGTCGGTAGCCCTCTGGGGAAGATACCCGGGAATGCAGGCCCTTCGAAACCTCTGGAGTCTCTCTGAAGGTAGTGGGTCTCCCTGTGGGTGGGGCCCCTCTGGGAAATTTCTCTGAAGTTCGGTAGCCCTCTGGGGAAGATACCCGGGAACGCGGGCCCTTCGAAACCTCTGGAGTCTCTCTGAAGGTCTGGGCCCCTCTGGGTCCACTCCCCGCTACGGGCTCCTACCTCATAGCCCTTGAGCGACGGTCCCACCAGGATGATGGGCCTCATGGAAGGCACCACGTCATAGGGGGGCACATGCTCTGTCTGGAGGGGAGGCAGGGAGGGGAAACCCCAGAGTGGAGATGGCATTAGCCCCTCTCCCCCAGCCTCCAGGCTCCCCCATGCACCCATTCCTCCCGCTGGTCCCAGAGCCCAGATGTGGGGATCAGGCTGGGAGCCGGACTGTCAGTCAGTCCAGGGGACTTGAGAATATTCAGACATACCAAGACCCTCTTTCTGGGTCTTGGAGAAGAGCTGGGAAGGCTGACAGCCCCTCATTTGGTGCCCACCTCTTGCCCCAGTACAGCCAACCTGCCCATTTTAAGAATTCTCTTAACTGTCCTGCTCTGCAGCCAGTAGACCCCCACTGTCCACCTAAGACCCATGGAGTCCGAAAAGAGCCAGAAGGGTCCCGTTCCATGCCCCCTTCACATTTGGGGGGGGGGGCAAACTCGGGAGATCACAGTGGCAGTGAGGGGCAAGGTCAGGTTTCATCACTACCAGGTTCTACTCCTGGTTGGGGAGGGGGGCAGCTTTCCAAGGGAAGGGGTGCTTGGATTTCAGGAACTACTCCTTCTTGTGGAGCGGGCCAGGGAGAGTTTTGTGTGGAGATAGACACGCCTGTCCTCTGTGCCATCCCACCCCCCTGC